ACACGAGGGCAGCAATTCTCAAACTTTTTTTTAAAGATTTTATTTATTTCTTTGAGATAGAGCGAGAGAGAGAATGAGCAGGGGGAGGGAGAGGGAGAAGCAGGCTCTCCGCTGAGCAGGGAACCCAACACAGGACTCAACCCCAGGGTCCTGGGATCGTGACCTGAGCCGAAGGCAGACGCTTAACGGTCTGAGCCACCCAGGCGCCCCTCAAACTTCTTGAGTCCAAGAGCTCTTTACACTCTTACCAACTGCTGAGGACACCAAAGAGCCTTTGCTTATTTGTTTAAATATTTATTTGTTAAGTAATTTAAAAATAACAATTATAAGCTGTTATGTTTTAACATAAATAACATATTTTTATGAAAATCACTATAAACAAAAAAATAGTAAAAAGAATGCCATTATTTCATTCTCTCGCAAATTTCTTAATAGTCTACTTAATAGAAGACAGCTGTATTCTTATATCTGCTTCCACATTCAATCTGTTGAGTAATGTTCGGTTGAAGTATCTGAAGAAAATCTGGCCTCAAACAGACATGTAGGGTCATTAGAACACAAATTGCACTGTGGGAACATACAGCATAGCACAATGGTGAGTAAAACCCAGAAGGAAACCACTAACTGGATCAGTGGTCTTCACACATATTTATTGGATCACATATCTCTGCCAGTTAAATATTTTTATCAGGACTATACATACTGCTATCAGGTATATGTATAATTATATATTTAAATTATAGTGTGTATTATATGCTATATAATAATATGTTAATATCACTCAAGGTACAAAATTCACTTATGCCTGGGGTTCTTTGTTAATTCTAACAAATGTAAATCTGTATTTCAAATAGTCTTGAAAATTTCACTTATTTTCCCCCAAATCCTGACAGATCTGATTTCATGACTCAGTAGTAGTAAAGTGTCAGTTCTGCCATCTTCTAATTATTCATTTATGCTTCCCTTATGAGAATTTATTTTTAATCTGTGTTTTCTATTTAAGAGGCTTTTTAAGCCACTTGTCCTTTCATGAGGGTGACTTTAACCCAGAAAATGTAATGCAAATGTCCACTCACCCAGACCACATGGACCACCAGGAGACCAATCGGGCAAGGGTGCACTCATATTCCTGCAACACCGTGGCATCCCATTCTCTTCCAGAGCACTGTGGGCAGCACCACTAACACCCCACTGTCAGGGGAGGCAATAAGGGGAGATTCCAAGATCAAACAATGTATTGAATAGGAGTCATGCTTCATTTCTTTTCTCTCTTGATTTATTTTTTTCTCCAAAATAGACTTTCTAATACTTCCTTCCCACCCCAGATGTGTAGTGGGGGGCACATCCCCGGGGCAGACCACTTTGGACACTGGATTAGAGTCTGTATGATCACAGCCCTGGAAAACTCTAGGTGCCATGGAACGCTCATCAGGAGCACTGATGCAAAGTGGGGGGTTCAGGAAAGGTTTGCTGGAGGAATGGATACTTGAGCCAAGGCTTAAAGAAGGGTATGTATTGGTGATGGGGATGGAGTGTTACGAACAAAGAGGATTTATATATCGCTATTTTAATTGGAATGATTTTAGAACATCCTTCTCTCTAGAGATCTTAAGTAAAAGTAGATAGCACTTACTGATTAATAGCTGGAGGGCAGACCTTGTTAAATGTCGTGGATGATTGCTCATCTGTTATCCCAGCAATTCAGTGAGTTGGTTACTACGTTCCTGCTGAGGAAACCAAGGCTCAAAAGGAAAGGTACCCAAGACCACATGGCTAGTGACCAGCAAAACCACAGCCACAGGACTCATGCTCTTAATCACTATATGATCTCATCTCTTAAATATCTGGCCAAAGAAGCCTAAATTCTTATTATCAGGATGCCAAGATGTTTTTCATTTGTCCATTTATTCATTCAACAGGTGTTTACTGAACTTTAACTATAAATCAGGAACTGAGTTCAGCTCCAGTGATATGATTGTCAACAAGAGAGATGTGTCCCTGCCTTCATAGAGCATAGAATGGAAAGGGAAAAAGAAGTAGTGAATACAATAGTTTTAAAATGTGGTTAGTGCTATGAAGGAGAAAATAAAAGTGTGGAGACAGAATGTGATAGAAGAACCTAACTGGGGAGTTAAGGATGGCATCTCTAAGATGGCATGTGGGTTGAGATTTAAAGGATGAAAAGGCTGTGGCCATGTGTAGACAAGGAAAGGGAAAATCATTCCAGGAAGAGAAAAGGACACATGCCAAGGCCCTGATGTGGAATAGAGTCGTCGACAGAAATTAACTCCTCCCTTTGGCTGGCTGCGCAGGAAAATGGATCCAGAAGGTGGTTGGAGGAGCCTGCCACTCTGGGAGGCTAGCTGTAACTCTTTGGTTTGCATTCTGTGTGTTACATCTCATTTGCTTCTTCTTTGAGTGATTGGAATATTAAAACACAAACTTGCCATCTGAGCCATGACCACTGTGTTGTCATCTAGAGATTCTTATCATCTTGATAAGATCACTCAGGCATTACATGTGAACAAGGTAGAGCTTGGCCAGCACTCAAAAGGAAAATCAGATACAATTTGCAAGGTAAAAAACAGAGCTGAGCAATCAATTAAAAGAACACAAGCATGAAAATCTAAAGTTAGGTGAGGAGCTAGAAATATTTATGTCTAAGGTACGTTTAATAATACAGTCTTTTACCTATTTATCATATTTCTGTATGAATGTTATGCCTAAAAGAATATTCAGAAGTAATAAGTATGACTTTGCTGTATAATAACTTACTATACGGTATTAAAAATCCCAAAAATGTATCTTTTCAGGACACCTAGACTCATGATAAATATTAGACAGTCCTCAACAGCTAATTTGCTTAGTCTTACATGCCTAACACTTTGTATCCAATTTCACTTAAGCAGTGTCCACTGGGAACACAGAGCTATAGTACCGAAAGGCATGGGATTTCATGTGTGTAGGGTACATTTCATTTTCCTGGTCTCTGACACTCACTTAGCAACAATCAATGAGGCACTGATAGCATTATTGATCATAGTGATAGCATTGTTGATTTTAGAAGTCACTGTAAGCCCGCAGGCCTTTGAACAAGGGATCCTCTTTCAAAAAAGAGAATCATTTTCAAGATGTGCTGAGTTTGACCCTTTACCCCCTTGTAGGATAAGGAGCACATGGTTGGGAAATAGGATTAGCCTGAGACTGAAACTTAGACTCAGTACCTTTTCAAATTTTCTCATCATTTAAACAAATCTCAGTCCGGGTTGGCCTAACTCCCAACCATTCCTGCCCTCTAGGACTCAGTTTTGAACTGGGCTTCCACGCAGGGCACATGGTTCTACCCTAGAGATTCCAGGAGATGTCCTTTGCAGGAATTCTGCTCTGTGACAGCCCTGCCTTTGAAGAGACCAGTTATTATGGGGTAATCATCACGTTGAACAAGCACAACTTGACTTATAATCAGAACTCAGCTCTTCTGTCACTGTCACTTTAAATTTATTTACATTTTATTGCCCTTAGATGAAAACTCAGGCAGACCCCTGAATTTTTTTCCTGTTTTTTAACTAAATCACAATCATATGGCCTCTCTAAGTCATAAATGAGTTCTTAAATCAGAAATTAGACTCCAGTCCAATATATTAATCAATGGCCAGAGATTCATTCAATGTCAGGTCTTTTCCTCAGGTCAGCTGTAGGCTAAAATTCTGAGATGAGAAAAGAAGATAGAAGTAGCCCAGGATCTATTTCTCTCCCAGCTTCTCTTTCCATCCACCTCCCTCTCATCCTACTCCATTTTTGCTAGCCAGTTTCTGACCCTTCTTTTTTTTTTTTTTAAGATTTTATTTATTTGACAGAGAGAGAGTGAGAGCAGGAACACAAGCAGGGGGAGTGGGAGAGCGAGAAGCAGGCTTCCTGCTGAGCTGGGAGCCTGATGTGGGGCTTGATCCCAGGACCCTGGATCATGACCAGAGCCGAAGGCAGCTTAACGACTGAGCCACCCAGGCGCCCCTCTGACCCTTTTATTGAGAGAGAGAGCAGGTAGCACAGGGGTCAGAAAATTCTCATTTGATCTGGTGCCTTTGAAAGCTGGCCTCCTAGCCCCGGGGTGATGGCATGTGCTTAAAGAAGACTCTGTTGGGCACCTGTGAGGTTCTTTGGCCTTCTGACTGCCTGGTCACCTCCCCAAGCTCCGATGTGAATGGTACTTCCTGGGATTCTGCACTGAAGCAGCCTTGTTTCTGAAGAGAGGGTTATTGTAGCATAGTCCGTATATTGAATACACAGAATCTGAGTTAGAATTAGAACCTAACTCCTTCTTACTTGTTTTTCAATTTTCAAGGTATGGGCAATGAGCATTTTCTTCCAGCTAGCTTCTTCCAACCTGCCCTCAGCTTTCACCTTGCCACTGGTCCTCCTTGCATGGACTCAGCTCTGGGGTACTCTTGCCAGCTCCAGGCTGGTTTCTTCTCTCCTGTGACCGACATCTGGGCCAGAAACACTTGGACACGTGTCACTCCTGACAAGCCCTAGCTGATCAGCATGCAGATCTGTTGATCCTGCTGCTTTTATCCAGGCTGCTTCAGCCTGCTGGGGCCCCGGCCCACATCCTCTTGACTACAGTGACCATCTATCAACTATCTGAAAGTTCCACTTGAAGAACCTCCTCACTAAGTTTGGGATGAGACTGTAGCAGACGCTATTCTCCCCCCAGGGGACAGAAAGGAGGGGGCGATATCTCTCCATAGCAGCATTGTTTGACAGAAATGCAAAGCGAACCACACAGATTATTTTAATTTTCTAGTAGCCACACATTAAAATAAAATAAAATAAAACCAAATAAAATAAAATAAAATCAACAACAAAACAAAAAAAAAGATTAAAATAATGGTAATAATATATTTTATTTAACTCCATATACCCAAAATATTATCATTTCAACATGTAACCAATATATAAAAATTATTGATGAGATAAGTTATCATCTTCCCCGCCCCCACCATGCTAACTCTTTGAAATCTAGCATGTATTTTAACAATTTCAGCACTTCTCAATTTGGACCAGACACCTGTGGCTAGTGAGGTCTATTGAACCTCTCTTCTACTTTCTCCATTTTTAAAAGCAGGTTTAATTTACTTACCATCAAATTTTTAAGGAGTGCTTAACTTTTCCCAGGAGGCATTTGTACTGAGAATCAATCTTTATATTATAACAAGATGTTAAAATAGGCATATTCATCACCCCAAAAAGATCCTTTTCAATCACTACCTTTTCCTACACTTAGGTCTAGGCAACCACTAATCTACTTTCTGTCTCTATAGATTTGCCTTTTCTGGACACTTCATACCAATGGAATGATACAATATGTGGTCTCCTGCTTCTTTCACTTAGTGTAATATTTTTGAGGTTTACCCAAGTTACAGCGTGTTTCAGTATTCTTTCTTTTATTGCCAAATAGCATTCTATTATACAGATGTACCACAGTCCATTTATCCATTCCTTGGGTCATTTTGCTTGTTTTCAGATTTGGCCGTCATGAATAATGCTGCTATCGACATGTGTGCACAGGGCTCTGTGTGGACATATGCTTTCATTTTTCTTGGTAGATTTCTAAGAGTGGAATTTCTGGGACATATGGTAAATTTATATTTAACTTATGAGGAAACTGCCAAATTGTTTTCCAAAGTGGTTGCACCGTTTCTCCTCTTTCTGATTCTTTTTTTTTTTTTTTCTGATTCTTATTTATGTATCCTTGATCCTACAAAGACTGAAGAGCCAGAGAGCTGGTCTTCCACAATATCCTTCAAAAACTCTGCAGGTGGGGTTCTGCATATTTGGTATCTAATAGTTCTCACATGATCATGTCTGTAGATATTAAGTCTGGAAGAGCCTCATTTTAACATCTTATTATAATATAGAGATTGATTCTTAGCACAAACACCTCTTAGGGAAAGTTAAGCATTCTCTTTAAAATGTCCTCCTGTGATTCTTTAGAATGACCAAGAAGACAAGCAAGAATGTTTCGAAACAACTGCAAAACAAGGTCTATTTGTATGGCATTTGTAATATGTGGCTATTGCCAACAATTAATTAGTAAAAGGTGTACCTCGGCAGGGAATTTTCAACTTATATATAATAACCAAGAGATCCTAAAAACTCTCCTGACAGCCTGGGAGGGGCAGAATTTCAGAGTAAGCATTTCTAACGGGCAGCCTGATTCTGAAAAATACCTCGTCTCTCATGAGTACATCCATGACTGCTAAATTTTAAATAAAAGGCTCCCGGGTGGAGGAAGAACGTAGAGAAATATTGGACACGGTCTCCATGTAGATTAAAAGGAACTATTTCATTGTTTCTTGTTTTCGTCAGTTTAATAACCCTGTTGGGGTTTCCCAGAATGTTTGAAGCCAATGTCTTATGACGCCAGGGATTTTTCTTGGTGTTCACTGGAGGGGAATGGGAAAGACAATGTGTAGATTTAATCAGCATTTGATTTTCCTCGGTCCCTTTGCATGGAGAGAAGAGCAGCTGGTAGTAGGTAATCTTGCCCTTGGGAATTATCAAGTAAAAGAAAGAGACAAGCAGCAGCTTCTACAAAGGCAGCTTTTAAGGCTAAGCTAAAGAATCACCAGGGAAGCAGCTGGGTTCACCATTTTCATCCAAGTCATTACTGGAAGAGATAGATGGTTTTCAAGGTCAGTGGCAGAAAGAGGAGCTAATGGCCAGCCCTTCCTCTGGGAGAACATTCACAGGAGAGAGGATGGATGAAGACATCAATTTCCCAGCCTGCTTGAAAGCAGCAAGGACAGTGTTCAGAATCAGTTGAGAAAGACCAGAGTTCAAATCCTGCATCTTTCAGCTTAGTTCTGCGACTTTGGGCATCTGCCTTAACCTCTTAAGCTTTAGTTTCCTCATTTGCAACATGGAGAAAGTACCTACCCATCTTGCAGGGGTTTTGTGAGCATTAAATGAGATAATCAGGTATAAGTTGTTTCCATCCCCTTTCTAGAAACTAACTCAATTAATTTATCTGGAAGTCTCCCCAAACACAATCAACATCTAGCCATCCTTCTCTTTTGCAATTCTTCCCCTTAAAGAAATTTTGGAAAATGATGTTTCCTGGTTGTCACAGTCACTGTAACAAAGCAGATCCAGGACCTTTGAAAATATATCACCTTCAAAAAATGAATCAAAGTAAAATAAACTCCTTTTGGAAACAAAATTCACCAAACACTTCTTTATTGCATAGCTGCTCCTATGATCAAAATGAATTAATAAATTACCCTCTGTATCAATGCCTTTCTTTTAACAATCTGTCTCAAAGAAATATTTTATTTTTTTAAAGATTTTATTTATTTATTTGAGAGAGAGAATGAGCGAGAGAGAGCGAGAGAGCACAATTGGGCACAAGACAAGGAAATGGCAAAGGGAGGGGGAAGGAGACTCCCCACTGAGCAGAAAGCCCAATGTGGGACTCCATCCCAGGACCCTGGGATCATGACCTGAGCCAAAGGCAGATGCTTAACTGACTGAGCCACCCAGGAGCCCCTTAAAGAAATATTTTAAAATAAAGTATTTAAACATGTACAAAAATGTGCATCGCAGTGCTATTTGTGTTTTTTAAAAAGTGGAAATGACCAGTATGTTTAAAATAAAAAATAGCAAATAATAAAGCAAATTACAGCACTTTCATAAGATAGAATATTATACAAACAAACCTATGTGGAAACAATTTGAATGATGTTGGAAAGTGCTGAAGAAAAATATCAGGTGACAATGACAGAATTAAAATATTCTTGACTTGTTAAAAAAATTGTATTTAGAGAAACCTGGAAAAATTAGTGAATATATTTACAACAACAACAATAAAATAAGCCATCAAGACCTATGAATGTCTCTACCTCGTGTTTAGCCTGGCCTTGTGGCTGGAACTTGTTCCAGGGAGAGCTGGTCTTTGCTGGGGCTGAGTTAGGGCTTCTCTGTTTCCTGGGCTTCTAAGAAAGGCAGGTCGAATACATGTGAAGGTGGGGTTTGGTATGATAGACCTCAGCAATACTGAGCCAAACCTGGTTGCTCTTACAAACCTCATTGTAAACCAGCCCTACAGTGTATGTTTTTCACCCAGTAGTCGGGGAATTGCTTTCTCAGAATCAGGTAGAGCTTTTTGTGTTTTTGGAGGAAAAATAAACACACAAACACACACACACACACACACACACACACACCAGTTTCCTTGAAAGCCACAGTAATCAGGGTTTCAAAGAGTGTGGTCCAAACCCACATGCATTAGAATCCCCTGGAATATTGGATAAAAAGCGGATTCTGGGGCCCAGACCCACATCTATTGAATCAATCTCTAGGATGTCTTAATAATCTGAATTGTAAACAATCATCCAGATGAGACATTCAGATGAAAACTGGAGAAACTGCATTTTCACAGTGGCCAAGAAGTTCCTCTGCATAATAGCGCAAAGCTATGTTCCCCTCCATTCTCTTCACACGTTGGTTTTTCCCCTACTAACCTGGGCATGTTCTATGCTGGCAGTTCGAAGTCATTAAAGAAGCACCAGAGAGCTGAGTTGAACTTTTCTGTGAGCAGAGAAAGCAATCTCATGCACACGACCTCAAGGCAATTTTGTTACTGGTGGGAGAAGAAGAACTTCATAAAGCCATGCATCTGTGTCACTTGCTTCATTTTCCATCAAAGATGGCCACTACTTCCGTTTCAGCCTTCTGGCCTGGAGTTTCAAAAATTCTGTTCTTTTAAATATCAAAGGTAACAAATGTTATATTGACAGAGTGGGAGGAAGATTCAATTCAATATTGCTCTTTCTATCTTACAATACTCTTTATTCAGGTCTTCCTCCTTTATTGTCTTATAAAAGTTTTTAACTTTCTGCTTTCCCTCCTATTAGAGAATAATCAATATACTTTCTAACTTTCTTCTTTTTGAGGCCTGAAAGAATACATCGATTTCGTGACACATACAATTCAAGCTCAATATTTGGACTTCAAGCCCATTCAGCGCTTCTTGTCCTCGTGGGACAAGGCTAAACCCTAAGGGTTTTTAAATGGGTCCGGTATCGCTTCTCGGCCTTTTGGCTAAGATCAAGTGTAAATGGGTCCGGCTGCAGAGTTTGCAGGTGCAGTCATTTTGCAGGAGCCCAAGTCAAGATATACATATGCAAATGTGTGTGGCTGTGCCCGAACTGAGTAATTGTGCATGCAAATAGGTGATTAAATAGACAATTACCAAATCTGCATGAACAAATGGAAGTTGTGCATATTCAATAAGCAGGGGGCACCTGAACATTATGCAAACAGGCAGCTTTCCTCAAGGCCTATGGAAACCTGGCCGCTGGCACCTCAGAGCAGTTTAAATCCCAGAGCAAGCCAGGTCTCAAGTTGCACAATTGGAATTTGCTCTTTGACCTCAGCTGCCATGGTAATGACCAAGTCTCTGACAAGGTCATCTTCAGGAAGTACCATGGGAAAGGGGTCTGATTTCTGCCATTTCTTCCACATACTACATTTAAGGCAGATATTTAAACTAAATATTCTTTTATACTCAGCATTAAGACATGAGCTTTGGACATCACAGCACGCTCGCTCTTGCTGTACTGTGCACCCACTCTTCCAAGCCAAAGCTCAAAGCAGGTACAGAGAATCAGTCCAAGTTAAACTAGTAAGAAATTGCTGCGGCCGATGTCAAAGGGGTTACTGCCTGTGTTCTCCGCTAGGATTTTAATAGTTTCCTGCCTCACATTTAGGTCTTTCATCCATTTTGAATGTATTTTTGCTTATAGTGTAGGAAAGTGGTCCAGTTTCATTCTTTTGCATGTGGCTGTCCAGTTTTCCCAGCACCATTAACTGAAGAAACTGTCTTTTTTCCATTGGATATTCTTTCCTGCTTTGTCAAAGATTAATTGACCATAGATTATGGGGTCATTTCTGGAATTTAAGAAACAAAACCAACGAGCACAGGGGAAAAAAGAGAGAGGCAAACCAAGACACAGACTCTTAACTGTAGAGAACACACTGATGGTTCCCAGAGGGGAGGTGGCTAGGGGGATGGGGGAAAGAGGTGATGGGGATCAGGGAGGGCACTTGTCGTGAGCACTGGGTGTTGTATGAAAGCGTTGAATCACGAAATTGCACACCTGAAACTAATATTACACTGTATGTTAACTAACTGGAATTTAAATAAAAACTTAAAAAAAAAATTTTAAATGAACTTCCATAGCACAGTGGATATAATTTTGCGATGCTCCTGTCTACCACGGTGCTGCCAAAAATGAGAGTGGGGCTTATTTGATCTTAAGAAGCCGTTTTTAGTTTGTCTTTGTGGGCTAGGGAAAAGTGCCCACTGGTTTTAATTGTGCCTTTCTTCACAGTTCAAGATCTCAGTTCTCTACCTCCCACCTAACAGGGATGGATGATGGTGTCAGTGGAGTACATCAATGAGAAATGATTTCACATAACCAGGGGGCTTTCCTGACAAAAGATTAGTGGTGATGCCTAGACAAGCCCACTAGGAACCAGAGATAAGTAAAGTCTGAGACAGCAAAAGAGCGCTGCTCGCTGAAATCCTCATATTTTTCACAAAGATATTTCATCTCTAGTAAATTCTACTAGGATATTTTCCCACATTCAATTTTATATGACTTGCATGGAGTCTTTTACAAAGTACGAAGTGAATTTACTACAAACCATAAAATCAATTACTCAGTTCAATCAATAAACCAGCTAAGTGAAATAATTCCTTTACTTAGCACCTGTCAGGAGGAGATTTCAAAATATTCTCACCGGGGGTCAGAAGTGAATGGAATTAGTCACGTTCCAAAGAGGAAGTAGCCAAGTCTATGTGGAATATCAGGCAGCCCTGTAAGGCATACAGAGGTGCAGCTGCTGACCAAGGATGATCCAAGGCCACATCGTAGCCAAGGAGATGCTGCAGAACCCACTTCAGGGACAGCACCCTTCGGCATTATCTTCTGCACGGGCACCCGAGAAGCTCACCAAGGACCCCTCCAGAATGGCAAGTCACGTGGTTATACAGTCCATGTGGCCAGGAACGCGTTTAGTGGAGAACCTGACTTCACCCCTGTAGCATCAGAAGCCAAAGAAAGCGAAGCTTTTTACCAAGTATAAATGAAACTGTCCGTTCTTTGCTTTCCACGAGTATCTAAATAACACCAATTAAGGAAAACCCAGTGGCACGGGTATTGCAAAGCAGTGTGTGTGTGTGTGTGTGTGTACAAGTGTGTAATATATGCATAAATGTATCTGTGTGTGTATTTTCATAATACTACTAAAATGGTATTTACCTTTTTCACTTCAGTAATATTTTCACTGAGGATGCCTTAGTTGGAATCAAGGCCATGTCGCCAACCCAGTAGTCATTATAGACTTCCATGCCAGGCACTTGTAGTAATCATAATAAGCCAGCTTCACTTATGAATATCTTTGAGGAATTAAATATGTGTTCATTTTATTAAATCTCTACCTTTGAGTACATGCCTTTTTAGTATTCTCTGTGATAAAATGGTAAGTTCACAGGAAGCCCTTCTAAGCTACATACAGAAGTGTGATGGTTGCCCTGAGGGAGAGCACTTGTGCGATTGTTTTAGTTAAACTGGATACTTTTTCCATGAAATACCTTTAACCTTGAAAGAACGACTGACAGGCAAACTCTAGTTATGCAGAATAACTATAGTTATTCAGAAATAGGTTATTTTGCAAACATTTTTTGGAAAGGAAAGTGAACCTATCACTTCAAAGAAGATAGCTGATTTGTTAATAAAATTAATGCTTTCAAGCAAAGATTAGAATTTTGAAAACTTGTATCCACCACTGTCAGTCTGACAGCTACCCAGTATTTTGAGATTTTTCTGATGACATCGGTGATAATATTGTCAAATATAATTTTTTGAGATTATAAAATGAACTGTATCCATTTGAAAAACAACATATTTCAGCGAACCAATATTTTTCAGATGACCTATACACGGTGTTACAAAGTTATGCATGGGTTAAAGAACCATGCAAAGTGCAAGACAGATTTTAATGTTATAGAGTTAAAAATGTTTATTAATATGGGTTTTGATTCCATATTACAGTTAACATTTAAGAAACTATTAATTTTTGGTGTAGTGTCCAAGAGGAACTGCCACAATTACCTAGAAAGACTATTAAAATATTCCTCCTTCTTCCAACTATATATCTTTATGAGATCTGCTTTTTTTAAAATATATACTTCGACCAAGCAACATATCATAACAGATTTAGTGCAGAAGCAGAGATGAGAATCCATCTGTCTTCTACAAAGCCAGACATTAAAGAGATTTGCAAAACTGTAAAATGCTGCCTCCCTCTCTTCTCACTCATTATTTTTGTTTTGGAGAATAGAGCTATTTTTAACAAAAATATGATATCTATGTCATCGTATAATGGGTTTTTATTATTTTTAAAAGATTAAGAGATAAATAATTTAAAATATTCTGTGTTGGTGTCAAATATGGTAAATATTAGTAGATAAAACCCTTATAAATAAATGCCCTTCAAGGTCCTCAGTAATTTTTAAAAGTGTAAAAGGTGTCCTGACACCAAAAAAGTTTTGAGAACTGGCAGTTGAAAGCAATGGTTTAAAACTTGTTTTTAACATCAGAGTGGGACCTCAAAGGAAATTTTATATGAAAGTCTAGGTTACGAAAGAGATAAAATCAGAGTTGTTCTGGTTAAACAGGGACAAAGGAGCCAGAGCCACCCTGGTTTTGCCCTCCTCCTCCATCCCCTTCCACTCCCCTTAGTTGCTCTAGAATCCCAGTTTGGAAGTCTCTGGGCAGAAGGGTCAATGGATGGCTGTATGGGGTTCCAGGAACTGCAGCATCCCAGGCCTTGTGGGGGGCAGGATAAGGCCGGGTGCACTGCTGTGCCGAGTTATGGGAGAGCCTTAAATCAGACTGTAGACATGGGCCCCTCCTCTGTCTCCCAGGTCTGCCAAACGACATGCCCTCAAGAGCCGGGAGATCCTGAACTTAAAAAGACTTGCCTTGTGGCCACTGATCTCTTAAGTATGTGTGGAATCACTGGTGAGCACACCCAAAAGTGATTAATTTGGCAAGAAGAAAAGGTGTTGAGTGTAGCGTGTATACAGGGACATTCCTGGCATATTCTTTCCTCTGAATTATCAGTGTTGAGATTGGGCAATTGAAGATTACCATCCTCCCCACTGGGACAAAATACCGTTTTGAAAGACCAGGGAATGGAATGAAATACAGGAATACAAAGGAGGGTGAGAGAATGGGGGCACAAAGTAGGGATGAGAAGAAGTCTTCCAAGAGGCTCTGGGTTCTGTAGCAGTAGAGGGAGGGTAGGACTCCCAGACAAGGAAACCCACAAGTCTTTATCTTTGGTTCTGACCTCTGCCCTGATAGCCAGACTACAGAATCCAACTTCTGGGCATTTACTCAGCTATCTCGAAGGCATCACAATCTTAATCTGACCCTGACTCACGGTTGCATTCCTTTTGGTTTGCTGTCCCCCCCATTGGTAGTTATGGAATCATTGTTCACTCTGTCAATAAATCCAGATCCCTTGAAGTCCTGATGATAAAGACTCAATATCCTTGGAATGACCAGTTGTCATCAGGAGGTAATTCAACGTCCAAACCTCCCCTTGGAGTTGGGAAAAATCCACCAGAACTATTGGCCCATATTCCCCTCCCTCTCCCTGTACCCTCAGGCTTGGCACCCAGAATTCTGCATTCTAATAAGTTTACTGTGGTTGGAACCAGAATGCAGACTCAGGGTAGCAGGTTTAGAGGGCATCATACCAAGTAGCAACAGTGGTGCCACTGCATTTGGGATACATTTTTCCTTCTAAAGATGGACGAGGTCCTCCCTCCTCTTGGCTGACCAGAGGGACCTTTGCTGCACATTTTCTGAGTCTGATTGTCAAGCTTCACAATGATGATCCAGACTAGTCTGATAAAATCCTTCCAATAAAATCTTTTCTTCTTACATTGCCAGTGTCAGTTTTTCTTATTTGCTGTTAAGAAGTCTTCACCTATGCCCTATTTCCTTATTTTATTTTAAAAATGTCTTCCCTCCAGATCTAATTTGTCTACCCTAGTTCAAGCCCTCAACATCTGGACAGACGGTTGCTTCTCCCTTACATCAATCAGTCTTTCCTCTTTCCAAAAATCTTATCATAGCATTTATTCCCCTGTTACAAAACAAAAGCAACTAAATCTTCATGGCTCCCTTTGGCTTACAGAATAATGTTTGAATTTCAACTTACTATCCAAGGCCTTTCAACCTACTTTCTAATATCTAGCACTCAGCTCCTTGACAAAAGGAGCCAATTCAAAATGATCTTTGAAGCCCCAGGACCTAGCATAGTGCCTGGCATAGAGTAAAATCCAATAAGTATTTGAAATGAGTGAATACATGAATGAATGAATGAATGAATATTAAATCAGAAACCCTGCACAGTAGACACAATAATTATTTCCCAAGCTCTTTACAGAAACATATATATATATATATATATATATATATATATACACACACATACACACACACACTCAAGTATGTGTAATGCATATTTTGAGAGGTTTTGGTCTCACAATACTTTGTGAGTACTTTCGCATTCCTGGTACACGCTAACCACAACGTATTACAGTCAGTTTGATTCTACCTGCTTTATCCAATAACATATCCGCTCTCCCAGGGCAAGACCCATGTCTTCTTTATCTTTGTATCTTCACTGTTGAAGCATGGAGTAGATGCTTCATATATCTTTGTTGAATTTGCCTCCTGGAGAGGAAGTGTGTGGTCATTGCAAAGGGAGTGGATGAGTTCTGCTTGATAAAAATTCCACTTCTCACAACTCCGGCGGGAAAGCTTTCAATATTTCAACATTCAATATGATCTTTGCTGTAGGCTTTTGTAGACACTCTTTGCCAAATTAAAGACTTCACCTTTTGCTCCCTGTTTCTTGAGAGGGGTGACCCTGAGGGCTTGACATTTGCGTATGGGAAACCACCTTGACTTTAACATTGCCTCCCATCCCTGACAAAAGAGATCCTGGACCATGTACTCAGACTGTAAATTGCCCGGACAAAATTGAAATCAAATCTCCATACTAGTTCTGATAATAAAGAGGGCTCTGAAATCCTACGAGAATCTCTATAATTATCTCAAATGAAACCTTCTTATTAAATTTTAAACTTTTCATTTTGGTTATTGTCATTTATGTGAAATGGGTGGATGGGAATGGAGCCTGGGAAAATTATGAAGATGTTAATCCTGTTTATGTTCATTCAGTCCATAGCTTGGGCTTAAAAGGTGTACCGTGTGAAACATCTTTATGAACAAAATCCAATAGTAATTAACAGATGCGGTAGCTTGTTTTCCTTTGGCTGGGAAAGGGAGTGGGGTCAACCACAGGTGGCGATGCATTTTCTGTCTTGCCTCATGGTGGACAACTGTGAAATGTTCAGTGTGTTCATCCACTTTCTTGCATAAGCAAAACAAGGTATTTCATCTAGCTCTTATATAATGAGAGTACAATACACTGAGCAATGTAAATATTTCCAATTTTAGGCATTGGTTTCCACTGATTATTAACCTATCTCACAGATCCTCATTTAAGAGCCTCTCTCGTAGGTCCTGCGGCGCCAATTTTTAGGGGTGTCTCAGCCAGAGGAGCCATGCCAGGAAGGCACAAGAGGCGTGGACAAATAGCAGCCTGGGCACGCCAAGTGGTGAAATCTGCTCATCCATCATTCCATTTAGACAAATGAAAGATTACAGCCCTATGAGAAAATGCAGCCACAGCCACACAATGCTTTGTGCACAAAGTAAATTACTAGTTTCCTGCGATCTTTCTGACAAGTAAATTACTGCAGAAAATAGCATAGATGGGAACACAATGACAAAAAATGCAGAGACTTGGTCCTTCAAAGGAGTTATTAGACCTCCAACACAACCATTTCTAAAGAACTCCAGAACTTCACCCCCAGCCCCCACCCAGTGGAAAGAGGATTTTCTCCCTTCATCATTCCGTAGCATATCTTGTAGAAAAATAATGCATGACTGGCAGAGTGGGAAGTGGATTCCTCAGGGATCAAATATCCTTTGTGTGTGTCATCTGGAAGATGTTAAAGAAGACAAGAGAGGAGCTTGCTGCAAGAATTGCTGTGCCTACGATCAGATCAATCAAGCTTGGCAGTGAACCATGGTAATGGAGTATGTTCTGCGTAAGAAAAGATAACCTCCAAGAGAAGTCTTTTTATAGCTGAACAGTTTCCAACTCTTCATAATATTTTTGTTCAATAATAAAATGTAAATTCTAATTTTGTTTTTATATGAAATAAGGAAAAAGCTATCTTATTAGAATTTATTTTCCTTTGTTTATTCAAAACCTAAACTCTAAAATATCCACAAAAGGCTCTATGAACCCCAGGGGTAGAACAATAAAAGGTTTCTTAGCTCAGTCAAATGGAGCAGGGTAGGGAAGGATATTGAAGATAGTAGAAGTCATAAACAAATCACAAATACCGTAAATTTCTGAGCTTCAATTTCATCAGAAAAAATGTCTTGAAGTTGACAGACTTCATAAAATTTTAGAGTCAAATAGGGTTTGGGGCAAGATTTAGTGATATAAAATGGCCTACCCAATACATCAGATATTGCATGGTAATGTTGTTACTAGAATCCTGATATTGCAGTCTGTTGAGTTTCCCCCACTACTAAAGTAGGGATTTCTTCTAGAAAATCTTACAGCTGTGTGCTGTAGCCAGTAAAGCACTTAATGGGAACACTTGATCCATATCCAGCTCAATTGATGTCTCGTTGTGTGATCTTGGGCAGGAGGCATAAACCCTTTGGGCATCATGTGGAGACTGAGGGTGTCAGCTGAGATCAGATGTGATGAAGTGGCAGCAGGCAAAGTGTGGTACTTGAACAGCAAATAATCACAACCACTTTCATAATTTTATATTAAAAAACAAAAATTACTTTTGTTTATAGAATAAAAATCACAGAAAGCAGAATTCAACCAAATTGGCTAGGCATATAGTAAATGCAATAAGAAACACATGGACATAGAATGCTAAAATATTTTCCAAAACTGGTAGTCTCTGTGGTCCTGAGTGATTGATAACAATTGCTCTTTGTTCATACTGTACTGCCTCAGTTTCTATTTCCTTATCGTAGTGGGTTTCTTGTTGCATTGAGTCCCTTTTCATGGTCTTGTCAAAACTGACCTGAGAGCATAAATTCATTGACAACTGTTTAGATGCCAAACGTATCACTTCTTCCATTAAGTCTAAATACCACCATTTAAATTTAGTTTAACAAACAGCTTTGTGCCCTTGTTGTATAAATAAAGACTTCGTCCTTGCCTTTGGAGACCTACAACTTTTGTGCAGAAGATAGACATTTTATCAGAAAATGACCTTTGGGACTACATTTAACTTCAGGTCCTCTGTCTCTTTGTCAGCTTGATCCCAAATAATCCTACACTCCAAGGCATTTGGTGGGAATGCACATACACAGTAAGGGAAGAGGCTCTCCTCATTTGAAAGAGCAAGGAGAATGGCCATTCTTGAAAAGGTTAAATTCTTTGTGCCCTTTTCTGCAAGCTATTTATTTGAGGAGCAGAGGAATCTAGTGCTTATTTGATTATAGTAGTTTCCCTATCTTGATTGAGAAGACATCAATGCCTGATTCTAAGGTGGAGCCTAAGAATTCATATTTCTAACAAATTCTCAAGTGCTGCTTATGATACTAGTGTGGGACCACATTTGAGATGCCCTGGTGTAGACAAACCATACTCAAACTGATATGTGTGTACATCTAGAGATACCCCAAAACTTTTCCAATGGTACAAGGGACTAGGTAGTTTAATGGGATCAAATTTCTAGATCCTCAATTTCTATGTTATTCTTTCCTAATTAATAAAGGAATCCAACTGAGAATTCACCAGTGGTTCCACTTTCCCACCTCTCCCTTTGCAATTGCTCTCCTCCCATCTTTTACAAACAAACAAAAAATGCATAACCCTCCCCAACAGAAAAAAAATTCAGAGAATTGAGTGAAATTACTATTAAAAAATTTCTTCCAGGGTGCCTGGATGGCTCAGTTGGTTAAGCTTCTGACTCTTGATTTCAACTCAGGTCATGATCTCAGGGTCATGAGATCAAGCCCTGCTTTGGGCTCCATGCTGGCCATGCTGCCTGGTTAGAATTCTCTCTCCCCCTCTCCCTCTTCCCCTGCGCCCCCCCTCCCGGCAACCCCCCTACTCTTGCACATGCACACTCTCTCCTTCTATAAAAAAAAAAATAAGTAAATAAAAAATTCCTTCCATCTTTATCTACTTATTTACATGAATACGGTTTCTTGGTGTTTATGCTTATTAAAACAAAAGAGGAAGAGTATTAAGGCAGAACCCTATCTTACTCTAGCATATGTAATTTTTACTCATGGATCCATGAACCCATTGAAAAATGAGACCAGACCCATTCCTTCTTAGTAAGGGCTATCTTTCAAATAAAAATTTTTTCTTTGTGATTATTAATCATCTGTTCAATATTTCATTTATAGTTATTTTGTTTTGATCAATTGTGTATGAGAGCTAATTATAATAATAACTAGTAAAATAATAACTCAGTAATAATAACTCAACCCAGAAAAAAAAAACAGTTATGACTTGTGGCTCCAGAAAATTTCATGCATGGAAATGTCGCAGCATATAAATATCATAAAATTATGAATAAAAACTTTCAAACATGAATATACTAGGATAGGATATTGAGAACAAGTAAAATAAAAATATCAAGTCAAGGAAAAATAAAACAATGTATAATCTCACACTGTTAAAACAGGAGCTTTCATATAGGGGTTTTGGGATTTTTTTAAAAGATTTATTTATTTATCTGAGAGAGAGAGAGAGCACGCACACGTGTGTGCACACTCACGTGTTTGCATGGGTGTGGGGGAGGAGCAGAGGGAGAGAATCTTCAAGCGGACTCCCTGCTGAGCATGAACCCGCCTGCAGGGTTCAATCTCAGGACCCATGAGATCATGACCGGACCGGAAACGAAGTCATTCACCTAACTGACAGGAGCATTCATTTAGTTTTAAAACAGATGAGACTGGGTATCAAGTCACTAAGATATTTTGATTCTTTGGATACATTTCTAAGGGTAATTAATATTTTTCTTTTAAAATGTCCTTGTTTACAATATGAGAGAAATTACATTTATTTGCCACTACTTAAATTAGATAAAAAATTTTATGTCTACCTAAACTACGTGATGGTTTTCATGTGTCTTTTTTTTCATAACTCTTATTAGGAGATACTTCATCAAAAATCTGAAGACAACTGGTTTTGATTATATTTTCAGCCAGAAGAAATTAGTTTCTCTGAATAAATCATCAACTATTGATTTTATTAATTTCCTGTACCTTACTCAAAATAATTGTCAAAATTTTGATAGGACTAAGGGCATCCTCAGGCCCCTCGGGACTGTGAAGAGCATAACTGTGCAAGACAGTGAGGCTTCCTGCCCTAACTCTGACATCTGAAAGTTATCCTGGAGAGAAGAGAGAAAGGAGAGGAGGGGAGAAAGAGACAAATGCATCATATTCCAAAAGTTGCCAAACTTCCAACAACTCCACGAACTGAGTGAGACAGGCATGTAAAGATAATAGATTTATTCTCCCCGGTATTTAGGGAGGATGATTTGGGCAACAATCCTACTCTTTATAGGAGGGCTGGGCTTTGAAATTTGGGGTACCACCCTGCCCGTGGCTGTGTGCTGTATCACTGGGACATTATTAGAAGAGCTAGCCATCTGGGGAATTTAGCGTCTTACATGCATAGTCTTTTGACATTTCTACCCACCTGTAGATCCTGGTTTTTCCCTCCTGTGTGCCGGCTCACTCAGCTACCTTCATATTCGATTTCCCCAGGATTGACTACAACTCATCTCTAAGGTCCCACTGGCTGAAAAGTCTTTTGATTTCTGGCTTGTGCTGGAGAGTGTCCCCAGGGCATTTCTCCAGCCCTCTTTGTCACTAACCCCAGTTACATCGCCACACAGTTTACTGGGGTTACAAAGCTAGGGTCAAAGGTATGGGCAGCTTTTCCTGGCATAGTCAATTTATAATGTAGAACATCTTGTATATGTGAAAACCACATATGACTGGCAGTTCAAAAATACCTTTCCACAAGGGTGCCTGGGTGGCTCAGTCGTTAAGCGTCTGCCTTTGGCTCAGGTCATGATCCCAGGGTCCTGGGATGGAGCCCCGCTTTGGGCTCCCTGCTCCACGGGAAGCCTGCTTCTCCTTCTCCCACTCCCTCTGCTTGTGTTCCCTCTCTCGCTGTGTCTCTCTCTGTCAAATAAATAAATAAAAATCTTAAAAAAAAATAAAAATATCTTTCCACATACAAAGTCAATATCAGATGGGATTTAGCCTTCTTCCGCTATTGAACAAAATTAAAACCTGTATGTTTAAAAAATCACTACCACATATTATGAAAATGAATTTTCACTATGATGTAAAAACCTCAAAATACTCTGTGTTCAAGGAAAACATTAAGAAAATAGGAGATACGTGATAATTTTGGAAGAATACCTCACAAACTTCAGGGGGAAAGACATTAATTTATTATCAATGAGTTCTGAGAGGTTTTTTTATTTTTATTTTATTGTTTTTATCATTTCATTTTCTTAAAATCAAGGTAAGTTTACTCTTAATCCCCATCAGCTATTTCACCCATATTTTGTTTCTTAAATGCCACGTATGAGTATTTGTCTTTCTCTGACTGACCTTTTTCATTTAGCATTAGACCCTCTAGCTCCATCCACATTGTTGCAAAAGGCAAGAGTTCATTCATTTTTTATGGCTGAATAATATTCCTTTCTATAAGAATATGTTACATCTTCTTTATCCATTCATCTATCAATGGACACCTGGGCTGCCTCCCTAGTTTGGCTGTTGTAAATAATTCTACAATAAACATAAGGGTGCATGTATTCCTTTGTTTGTTTGTTTGTTTGTTTGTTTGTTTATTTTTGTTTAATATTGTTAATTTTGTTTAATATTTTGTTTGTGGTTTAGGTTTTATTTCATCATCATGAACTGAATTCTGCAATCCACCTAGACCTGGGGGTAAGGAATCACAGAGCCCACAGAATTGCAGCGAGAGCCCAGAGATTCTGGGGTATGGAGAACAGATGGGGGTGGAGGGGTACTCTCCTGAGCTACAGAAGGAATGGTCTGGTAGCTAAGATAAAACACAAGTCAGATTTGTTAGATTTGTCCACAGTCAGCAATGGTGATCTTCTTGTTGGTCTCACCATTCCTGGACCTGAGGCAGTCCATGCTTTCATAGTATGCATGCCCTCTTTGACCTTGCTGAAGACCACATGCTTGCCATCCAACCAGTTGGTCTTGGCAGTGCAGATGAGAAACTGGGAACTATTTGTGTGGGGTCCAGCGTTGGCCATGGACAAGATGCCAGGACCTGTGTGCTTCAGGATGAAATTCTGATCATCAAACTTCTCCCCATAGATGGATTTGAAGGCATATGTTTGTACAAAAATGTTTACAGCAAGGTTTGTAAAAACTATCTTTGTAATAGCTCAAAAACTGGAAACAACACAAATTTATGGTTATACCAAGCTTTTGTATCAATACAGCGCAATACAAACACAGCATTAAAAAGAAATGAACTATTGATAGATGGCAGAACATAGATAAGTCTCCAAATAGTTATGAGTGAAAGAAGCCAGACAGAAAAAAAAAGTATATGTTATATAATACTATTTCTTTTAATGAAAAGTAACCTATAGTGACAGAAATGAAATCAATAGTTGCCTTGAGACATGGCAGGGGCAGAGAGGGCTGTGAGGGAGGGGAGGATGACAAAGGGGCACAAGGAAACTTCTGAGGTTCACTATCTTGATTAGGGTGATACTTTTAGAGGTCAAAAGTATACTTTCAATATGTACAGTTTACTGTATATCAATCATTTCTCAATATAACTGTTAAAAATCAAAAAAGAGTTAATATCCTTACCTATGAAGAACTCTTACAATCCACACACAAAATTATGTATATAATATTTTATTATATGTTATTATATAGTACTATTATATATTATTTAATATTTAAATTTAATATGTAATATTAAATTTAATTTTAAATATAATATATGATAATGTTGTTATATAATGTTATATATTTATTATATATATAAACACACATACACACACACCCCAAATGGAAAAATTAGCAAAGGAAATTCACAAACAAAAAGAGAAATGAAAGCATTGTTAATAGACACATTTTTAAAAGTTCAAACTCATTCATAATCAAAGAAATTTAAATCAAATTTAAATTAAAACAGGAATGACTGAATCACATGTGTGTGTTTAATTTGCCTAGAAATTAACAACCTATTTTCCAAATAGCAGTATTATAAATTATATAAATTATATTTTGAAAAGGATCCTTGGGTGAAAAAGCATTCTCACACTCTGCTACACCAGTGAAAACTACACAACCTTTCTAAAGTGCCACTGGGTAATATACATATCAAGAATGCCGGAAGCAATCATAACATGTGACCTCAGTGTTTCCACTCCTTGGAATTTATCCAAAGGAAACAATCAGAGAAAAATATGAAGAGTAATGAGTAATGTAATGAAGGCCAAAAATACTGCAACTTATAAACAGAATTTCAGAAATACATTAATGTCCAAAAAACAATGTGTTGTTTAAAGAATCTAGAATATATCCAAAGGATGAAATGTTGTACTTCAGTAAAGTTCAGTAAAGCTCAGTGTTTTATATATTCAATGTTATAAAAACACATCTGACTCGATATTTAGGATCCGGACATATATGTGCATTCTGGTTCCCCCAGTGTTTCATATTCACAGGTAAGCTCACACACACACACACACACACACACACACACACATCTGAACTCTTTTCTGATCAAAAATAAATCTATCGCAATGTTCAAAGATGTTGTCTTTAGTGATAAAACTTGGCATGATTTTTTTATATTCCTTTTTATATGTTTTTCCATTTCCAAGTTTTTTTTAAATCATGAAACATGTCATTTTCTAAAGATATAAATAAATGTGGTGAGCAATAATGAGTAATTTTTGTTTCCTTTGTATCATCCACACCTGACATAGGACACATGTGTTTACAATCAGGCATGGGTGTGGATTGGGAATGTAGCACCCTGTGATCAGGGAAACTGTGCAAGGAATGAGCTGGGATATTTTTCTGCTCAGAGCGCTAGAACAATCTAAGTTAAAAATTAACATGCACAATTATCTACATCACTTCTTCCACCATCGCAACCTCACCCATCCTTCTTTTATATTGTTTTATTATGTGTCATTTCAAAGCACGTTAAACCTGGTTTGGAAATTTTTTTCCAAGGTTGCTGGAGTAATGCTTTGCCTCCAGGAAAGTTAATTCAAACCATCCATGAAGAAAATGAAGAAGGAAATGTAGATGGGAAAACAGAAGTGATGGAAATAGCTCAAAGTCTGAGCCAGAAATTTCACTTTGTCCAGGAAGGGGAGGGAGGATCTACAGAAAGAAGGAAATCAGTGATTTATAGCAGCAGTTGGGGAGGACTTTCTGATCAAAGGGTACAACGGTAGTCACCCACATCAGAAGGGCTTCTCACACCCCCAAAAGGCCGGTCCCAAGTCCTGCTCTGGTCCACTAAGATTACTGAGACTGGCTCCTTCACTAGCAAACTAATTTCCCTAAGGAATAATTGGAGGTGTTTTGACAGATCTGAATTAAGTCACCGGTAAGGTTTGGTGACCTTTACCATACATCTTATTCTATGGGTTAATCAGAACATTCTGTAATTATAATTCCATATTCTCTGATTTGTAGGTTTTGTTGTGTTTTGTTTTGTTTTTTGTCCTCACAAAGCAGTGCAACATTCTCCTTTTCCCCCCTTAAGTGACCCTGATTTTTTTGGAGAAATTATTTATTGTTTATATAAATGTTAAATTTTATATTTGTGGAGACCCTTCTAGCTCCTTCCCTTAAACCAGTGAATGGCCTTAAGAGGGTTTCTCTTGCACGCAAATTATATCCTACATATTTGCTGGTTCTGAGCAATCCACCACTTCCTTGTCAAGGCCAGCCATGAACTTACAAGAATGGACACAATCCACCTCAAATCTTGATGGTTTTCTTTGACCATTTTAGCTCTGTCCTGCTATGGTCCCTCAGCTGCTCCTGTCATAAGATCCAGCTCTGATGTTAAACACCTGGTATTTCAACAGGGTTCAAATGTTCACATAGGTAATTACTTCATGATTATTCATCTCTACAATTTACTTTCAGTTTCTAAAAACACAGAGGGACCAATGGTATTTCCTGTTGAAAAACCAGAATTATGCGAATAGTAATTTTTATGTGAATACTAATTTTAGTTGTTTATATTTCAAAGCAATTCTGTAATAATAAATTCTAAGTGGATTAAGAAATAATCTGAGATATATGTACAGTATTTCTGAAAAGTCTATTTTTTAAAATATTGATTATTAGACTTTGTACTGGGTAGCCAGCATGATGCATAATAATAGACCTGCAACCGGATATATCACTGTGAGATATCTAACCAGTGGGGACAATGTAAAGATCATACACATTTCCAGAGAGAAAAGAAATGTTAACATACAAAAGATCAGGAATGAGAATGGCTTTGAACTTTCCACAACAACTACTAAAAGCTTAAAGATAAGGAACAGCACTTACAAAATTCTGGTTGAAAATTATTTACACTTAGCATTCTATACAAAGCCAGACCATCAGTCAAGCCTGAAGACAGAACAAAAACGTTTTTCAGATCTTCCAGGTCTTGAGACAGGACAAAAATGATTAAAAGTGGTTGTCTCTGGATATTTGGGCAGAATATCATTGTTTTGCAACTAGCTCCCTAGAAATATTTAACCCTTTTAAACCATGTTCATCGACACTTTTTAGAGGACTATTAATAAAAATTGAACAGAAGGGGCACCTGGGTGGCTCAGTGGGTTAAGTGTCTGCCTTTGGCTTGGGTCGTGGTCCCAGGGTCCTGGGATGGAGCCCTGCGTCCACTGGACTCCCTGCTCAGCAGAGAGCCTACTTCTCCTTCTGCCTGCTTGTGCTCTCTCTCTTTGTCAAATAAATAAATAATAATCTTAAGAAAAAAATTAAACAGAAGGGGGTGATGAACATGAAAAGAAAGAAGCCGGTGCCATGTTGGTTTTTAAGTTTTCTTCTCATTCTTTCTTTTCTTTTTTTTTTTTTTTAAGAGAGAGAGCATGCACCTTTGCGTGCATGCGGGGAGGGAG